ATGGATTCACAAGTTTCAAAATCAATGTTCTAAAGCAGAGTTCTTAAATTACTGTCCCTTGCGTCCCCCTGCTATGCACATGCTCTGCATCTCTCTCTCTCTCTCTCTCTCTCTCTTATTCAGCTCAGCTCCAACAATGAACTGTTCCAATTATACACTTATTTTCACATAGCTATGAGAAGCATTAAACATGGACGCGCGTGCAGTTGTCGTACTGTATTAAAGCTTTAATCAGGATAAAACCATATATTAAAAGCTAACATAAGCTGTAGCATTTACAAATAACAGCATATCTAAAAGTATGAGACAACAACAAACAAAAAACATAGGCCTACCATTAAAAGCTGTGCTTGCACAGGTTCTGCACGATCCTCTTCAATAATATCCTCTGCTTCTCAATCGGGCTCAAACTGATAAGCGATATTAACGACGCCGTTGTTTACAATACAACTAGAGCACATGCCGCTGAGGAGAGGGGCGATAGAGGCGATAGAGGTGGTTTAGCCAATCACAACACACTGGGATAGCTAACCAATCAGAGCCCATCGCCTATTTCTGAGGGTGGGGCTTCATAAAAGCAGGAAATGGACAGAGCGGTGTGGAATAAAGGTAAATTATGTGAAAAGTAATGCTTTTTTTTTTTTACGAAGCAATAACACATGTTAGACTGCACCCCATAAACACAATCAAGCTTAGAAAAAAACCAGTGAACCACCCCTTTAAATAATATTTTTTTACTTAATGAAACCAATTTATATAGGTTTTACAGTGTACAAGCTGCCATAAACATGAGGACATTTCAAATTTTCATTTGTTCTTTTTATGAAATATTCAATATTGGCCAATATTGAAACCATGAGTACAGAAATCTCTTGATTTTGAAATGTCTTTCTCTTTTTCATACAGCAAATTACTTGTGTTACTGACAGAGCCAGGTGTTTTGACCTGTCAGGTAAGTTCAGTAATTCACTATTTATTATTTTTGCTATCCCTCTTGAAATGTGTTATTGGTTTTTCAAAGCTAAACCACCAGAAAATCCCTCAGTGCTATCATTTCACCTGAGACGCTCATCCCTTCATCCATCCATGTATTCCAGCTTTATTCATCTTTCCATCAGCACGTATTTTGCATCACTAGCCTGTCCTGCTGTAAAAGCTCAACCGGTCAATCCTAAAACAAACAGAAAATCTTTAAAATTCATAGACACAACTCTGGGAGGAGATACACACCAACTGTGACAACATAATGGAAGGTTCAAACATGCATTTTAGCAATCAGATATTTTGTTTATCTTTCCTTGAGTTGTAAAACTCAGGTAATTTGCCCTTTTGTGCTGCGCTAAAATGTGGAATCACATATAAGTGTATTTGTTTAAGAATCTATAGGGCCAAAAGAACATGTAGCGATAACTGATTTGTAAACAAAACACTAGAAATGTTTAACACTACCCTAAAAACCTTTCCTTTTATATGAAACAAGATATGGGAGAAATAAACATTCACACACAGGGACTTTGTCTCAACCTATAGGTTAAGTCTAAGGTGGGACTATCTTAAAGTCCCAGAATAATAGTGCTGTCCCAAACTCGCGCCATTGGTTGAGAGAATGTTATTAAAGGTTTTAGAGAATGTTTAACAATAAATACGTGGATTAATTATTGATTGAGTTGAAATTAAGCTTCCTCTGAGAAAAAAATGAGTCCATCACAATATACAAAGTAACTGGTTTAGCAACAAGATGAACACTGCAACAAAATTACATACTAATATTAATAATGATGTCCTCTAAGGCAATCTTGACAGATAAGTGAAATGCAAGATGGAGGCAGTTGCGCTTGAATAAAAAAACGGGAGAGTGAATCCTATTTTACAAGGTGTTGATTTTGTTTGAATTTGTATGGAAACGTATGAAAAAGAATGTAGGGGAAAAAACTAAGCATGCAGGTCCATCAAAAATGTCAAAATGAGAGTATGAAAACATGCAAATGAGATTGTACGAATTCATACAAATTAGTCACAATTCTCCAAAATGTATAATAGTTACAAACTTCCATAAAAGTGTATTGACCAGTGTATTGACCAGTTTCAGTTAATTAAATATAGCTTTGTCATGGACGACCGCAAATATTAGAACATATCTTTCTGCTGAATGTTGTGATTGACCAATCAGAATCAGTATTTCAGAGAGTCCTGTTATAAGTTATTTAGACTATTGTTCTACTGAAGATCACAACAGATTTGCTCCGCTTCTGATTTTTATATTTACAGTGTGTATTTTAAACAGTTTTGTATGTGTATTTTAAGTTGCTTAGCAGTAGCAGTCCTGTTATCCCTGAAGTGTGTTTTAAGCAGCTGTACTTTTTAGAGCTACCACACTGTGATAAGATCAGAACTTTGACGAGCCTGTTAATTGAAATGTACATGCCCATGCTGAAGGGCATTAGTTTGGGATTAAGCTGCTGTCCCTTTGATGACTGAAACATGCGGTTATTGATACCAGCAGAAGTGTGCTTGAAGTGCGGGTCAGCATGTTCTGGCTTCCTGCGCCCTGTCACACACTGATGCCATCTAACTCCAAGTCTCAGTGTCATTATCTGCACATGGCAGAGGGGATTAGAAAAATGGGATTTCTGATCCCCCCTTCCTATGGTACAGTTAAGTGATTATTGTTAAAAAAAATTACAAATGATTATACTAATTATGAATAAATTATTATCTCCCCAACACTGAGCAATCTGAGCGATCTGGCTTCTCCCCGGCCAGGAAGATAAGAGTTTATGAGGGGAAGGGGGCCTTTGCAACGCGTGTCTAATATAGATGGACTGCTGTGGCCATCAAAGTATTTCTCAGGGCTTTGTTTAAAAGTCATCTGTTCCTGCATAATCAGAAGCTCTTTGATTGTCTCCTTCACTGAAGGGAGGAGATCAGACGTGATCGTGTTATGTGTGTACTAATATGCCTCACTATGGAGGGGCAGAGATTGTGAATAGTGTAGGTTTGGTGTTAGTTTATCCAGTGCTGTATGAAAATTTGTCATGGCAAATGTGCTAGGTAGAGAGGGTCACCAAAAATGTAAATTGTGGTATCTCCATTTTGATTGTTTTTCCAGGTGAGCGGTTAGATTATTGCTCCTGTGAATCTCTTGAAGAGATCCTGAAATCAGTGCAATTTGATTTTATCAGTCTGCAGGGGGCCGAGCTTGAGCAAAATGTAAGTATATTAACATTTGCATTTAAGGCTATTTTCACACTTGTTTCAATTGCTGGGTCACATTTTCAAATTGTTCTTATTTTTGGTAAAGTTTTACGAACCGCAGTGCAATTGCGTTATCAGCATTAGTATACCACCTTGATAAAAAAAAAAAAAAAAAAAAAAAAAAAAAAAATATATATATATATATATACAGAAGCGTAAGTCGTCATAGTTGTATAAACCTGTAGTGAATGGAAACTCTGACAATTTTTTGAGATTTCATTTGCCCCAATAGCAAAAGAAGAAGAAGAAAAAGAATATATCCACAAAAGTGTTTCTATGACTTTCCAAAAGAGGGGGAAAAATCAAGAGATTGATTACATTTATCAATAAACAAAGAAGTCAAATTTTCCGTAATTTCCTCAGCCTTTGTATTAGAAACACCTAAAATAATAAAAAAAATTAAAATTATAAAAAATAAACACAAAGTACAATGTCATGGATGTACATTATTATGTACATTATTGTTATTTTCAATGTAATATTATTATTATTACTATAACATTGAAAATAACAATACTTTGCTAGATTTCCGATGTCGATAATGTGAAAACGCAGTCTGTGAAAAGGGTCCTTGGGAACTTTTGAGTTTGGGATTGGAAATCTCTTCGAATGATTCATTATAGGGGTCATATGATGTTGCTAAAAAGAACATTATTTTGTGTATTTGGTGTAATGAAATGTGTTTATGCGGTTTAAGGTTAAAAAAACCCATTCTTTTCCACATACTGTACATTATTGTTTCTCCTTTATGGCCCGCCTTTCTGAAACGCATTGATTTTTATAAAGCTCATCGTTCTGAAAAGCGAGGTGTGCTGTGATTGGCCAGCTATCCAGTGCGTTGTGATTGGCCGATTACCTCAATCATGTGATGGAAATGTTACGTCCCTTACCATACTGTGATGCCGTGTCCGGCCGGAGCGACGAGATAAAAACATTAAAACCCATTATAAACGAGGCATTTGCTGCATCCAGTGGGGACATAATTACGGATTATAATGACTTATACTGTCTTTTTACGCGTTGCGTTGCATCGCGCAAACATAAAACCATGTCTGCATTTGTGATCGGAGAAATGACAAACAACAAGCGCTACTCTACACTGCTCAAAACTGAATCATCAGTGGCAAATCCTTTAAATATGAAGTCAGAACAGCCGGCATTGTAGTCTACTCTGCCAGGAAACAGTCCTCCATAAAATGCGCTGCACACATCTGAATATTTGGGTTGAACTGTTCTGGAACAGTGTTGTAAATACAACTTAACCACTGATTTCTAGTCGTGTCCTCTTTTGGAAGGTTGGAAGGCCAAACAAAGTAGTTTCGCTTTCACAACGTAACACACAGCGTCTTCACGACATGGCGGCCGAGGCAACAACAACACTACAGCGAGAATAAAAGTTACCCTTCTTTCTTTGCGTGAACATTTGGGCGGCGTTATGCAAATCTTCCCACATCATGACGTAGACATGGGGGCGTGTTAGAACGAGCCGTTTTAGGTAGGCGTGGTTGACTCTTAACTTTTATAAAGAATATCTCTTTGGATTTGAGACTTTAGTCTTTGCAACTTTACAGATCTTCTTTATGCACCAAGAGCTTGTAACACTTCAAAGAGAAAGGAAAAATTGAAATCGCATCATATGACCCCTTTAAAAGAGCGCGCTGCTCAAGTCATTTGTTCATGACTACAGGAAGCCTGTTTTCTTAACATTATTTTGCAGTAGACGATCATTTTATCTCAACACATTAAATTCGGACAACATGATGTTTCTTCAGCAATCGCGTAGATTCTGTAGCGAAGATTTGCCCTACGCCAATCTACCGCATTCTTGGCACCAAATAAACTCAACTCTGACGTCATGCTCATGCCCGCTCCTAAAACTCAGTACAAAAATATTTCTTTTTTAATGTCAGAATTCTGTTTACTTGTCAACATTGACTTATTTTCTTTCATAAGGGAGCATCATCTTTGCTAGATATGTTTTTGTACTACGAGTCAGCTACACACCTCGACATGTCCTCGAACTCAGGCATGGGATTCTCAGGTTGGCTGTCACTGTCACACCTCCTCCGACAGGTAAGATATGAATATTTCTTCACCGCACATAAAATCCTACTGGCCAGTGAGTTGTGGCATAAATAATTAAGTTATAATATGCTGTTTTTTAACCGATTTGGTTACTTTGTGATTCACATATGAATTAACAAAACAAACTAAACAATTTAAACCATGTAAATACGATTAAGAATTTGTATCTTTAATCCCTTTTAAGTCGACTCAACTAAAAAAAATATATATATTTATTTATTCTTTAAATCATGGCACATTGTAAGTCTTGGCAACTTGACATTTTATCTAAAAATTAAATGAATTCAACTGAAAAATCTATGCAAACAGCTGCCTTCATTTTTTTAAGTTCTATAACACGACTCATGTTTTAAATGTGTCATCAAGTGTGAACCGATACCTCACAGTGGTATTCAGATTGAATTGGAAGCAATGAATTACCATGCATCAAAGATGAAAATGTCCGTACTGCTGAATAAAGCCACATTCGCACTTTGATTTTAATGGACATCATTATAGTCCGCATAAAACTCCTGACAATATGTATTCATTTAGCAACAGTTCTAGATGAAAGACGGCATCACCTCATGGTGATGTGGACTTCAATGGTAAAAACCAAAGGCACGCTCTCAGGCAGTATTATATGAGATCAATCAAAATCTCTCAAGAAAGAGAGAGAATAAAAAAATCTGGACACTTTGAAGTGGTGGACTAAAGGATGAAACTCTGGAATGGCCTGCAGATCTTTGGGAACCTCCCGTCAGAATTGTTTTCCGGTTCTGACGTTTCTGCTTCTGTAGACAGGGAGGTTTTTTGATGAGAGAGGGTGAGACAGAGAGGCCAGTCCGCAGCGAGGGCAAAACCAGGCCTCTGAGTCTCTGTGTCGCTCTCTCTCTGATGGTTTGCTGTCTGGTCTCTTCAGAGTGGATGCCTGTGGAGACTGGATGCTTGCAACATGCCTATGGTGGACTACGCCGCGCAGGCCTTGTCAAAAGCCCTTCTCACCAGCAGGCTGACAGTGCTACACCTTGAAAACACCTGCCTGAGCGGCAAACCTCTCTTCACGCTTGGTATGCCCAGCACACACCATCCACTTGAAGTGTACGCGATCTAAGAATGGAAGAAAGTTTGTGTGCTTGCGGCCTGAGAATATGACCCTGTGCTGTGAAATGCAAATTATGCTAACAAGTGCATTGTGGGAAATGGGGTCAGCTGCGTTACTTAAAGGATGCAAAAAGGGGGTTCACCCCCCAAAAATGATATAAATTTACTCACTCTCAGTTTCAGTGCATGGGTACCGTCAGAATGAGAATCCAAACAGCAGATAAAAACATCACAATCATCCACTGATGGACTCCAGTCCATCAATTAATGTTTTGTGAAGTAAAAAGCTGCATTCATCATTAGGCCATTGTAGCTTTAAACCAGCACTTCTGGCCATTATGGGTCCATGATCCATAATAACACTTTATCCAGTGAAAAAGTCCATCCCCATGTTGTCCTCTCATATATAATATATTATCATATTTGTTTAGAACTGTTTTGGACTGTTTCCACTTGTAAACGTTGATCTGATCTGTGCATATTTTTCTCCTGATTCAGGCGAGATTACTTTTTTACTGGAGAAAGCAATAATGTGGTTTATGGTAGTGTTTGTCAACGGGGACGTTCAGAGAGCATCGGGAGCTGGAAGCAATATTTTTGAAAGGCTGAGGTGTTCTTGGGGGTGGGGGGCATTGGTTAAGGTGAGTTTACACCCAAACTTTATGAATGTCCTATGTCCAAATGTCCTAACACCATCTCTACATTGGATGCATCAAAGGGAATTTTTCATGTTTATTTGTCAATTTCGCATGGTAGCGCAAGCGCATGGAGTGTGTCAGAAATAGAACGCGGCATTCGTTTACTGAATCAATCGCTTATTATAATAGGTTCTATGTGCTTTGAAGCAATGTATTGCGCTGTTCGCGTGTAGTAGTGTAGTGTCCCTGCCAGCTTACATCAATGCTACTAAACGTTGTATCATTTCCAGAGCAACGACTCTTTACTTCAGTGTTCAATCAGCTTTCTGTAGCACAGCTGGCAAACTTCTTGTCAAAACAATAGCTACCATTCAGACACGATAAAGCACGATATGATTGTTTGGAAAAATGAACATGAATGCTTCTTGTTTTCTTATTGGATGCGGCTGGTCATAAATATAATTCACTTTTAAATAAATTCACTTTTTTTCTGCTCCTTGGGAAACTAGGATTCAGGGTGACTCACACAATTGACACTTTTCTCTCGCCACACGTCCATTTTCTCATGCAGTGAAAAGCACCCTAAGTTGAAAATGTAATAATAATAGGATATTGACGAAACATAGTAAATGCTCCAATGCGTATTTGTGTTTGTGCTTTGGAGAACATCAAAAGTTTCTATTTACGTGTTTTTGTAGTGTTGAGCAATGTAACCACAGCAATCACAGACAGATCTGTTCATTCTTGAACACCCCTGATTGTCCTTTATGTTCAAATGAGTCAGAATTCACTCACGGCTAAATGCCAGATTTTGTTCTGCCTGCTCACTAATCCGCTCACTGTAGGAGGTTCATTGATTATAAAGGAACTTTGTGAGATCGCAGTTGAGTAAGTACTAGTTACTAGTGATAATAAAGTGATAATTCAAGTCCAGTCAAATCAAATGACATGAAGGTGATGTGGCATTCCACATGTTTTTAAAGTTGTATATGGTCTTACATGGGCTGTTTAATGGGCTACATGCTTAAAAAAATATATACAGTATATATATACATATACATGCAAAATATACATATACATATACACCACCATTCAAAAGGAGGTCAGTAAGGTTTTTTAATTGATTTGAAAGAAATATCTTACTGCTCAGCAAGACTGCATTAATTTATTCAAAAATACAGTAAAAACAGTACATCTACCATTTGAAAGAACTGATTTCTATTCGAATATATATTAAAATGAATTTTTCCTGTCATGCTAAAGTTTTCAGAAATAATGCAGATTGCTGCTCAAGAAACATTTCTGATTATTATTATAGCTGTTATATATAGCTGAAAATGGTTATGCTGTTTAATAATTGTGGAGGTGTTTCCATTTTTCAATGAACAGAAAGATTGAAATATAAATATAAAATGGAGCGTGATTTAAATGCAATGAACTCATGACTATAACAAAGATATAAATCAGGACAGCACTAAAATAGTATTTTGACGAGAAGCATACGTTTCCAATCTTTCTGCTTAGTTTGCTTTGAAGTATTTGAAAGAAAACTTTGAATTATTCTCACAAAATGTAAGAAAATTTTTAAAAATATTAGTATTAAATTCCTTCCATTTACATGTGTAAATGTGATATTTACCCACCAAAACTACCATGTTCTGTCAGAAAACAGAATTCAATATATTCTTAAAAACAGGGTATCTTCTAAAACTAAGGGATAAATATAGTATTTTTCACTGAAAGATAATTGAAAACTTCCACCTAAAAATTTGAGGTAAAATCACTGCAGTAAAAAGAGTGTTCAAGTGTTCTAGGAAAGGAAGAACAAACTGAAATCTCTTCTGTATAAATTCTCCTGTGGATAAATTCTAAACAGGAATTTTTAACAAGTCTTTTAAACCTTTGGGACAAAGGGGTACAAATGGGGTTCAGTGCTATAGTACTGAAAATCACCAACATGCTTACAAACTCTGTAAATGAATGTTCTTAGACCTTTTTCCAAATATTTTACTGAAAAAAAGGAACACTTTAGTGTCGTTTGATCAATTTATGGATCCTTGAATTAAAGTATTTAATTTCTTAAAATCGTAATGACCCTAAACATTTGAATGGTGCTGTAAATATAACTATAGTCGTCATTCGTTGAAGACGATTAGACTACATTTTATTTGATGGGGGGTGGTAAGGGACCTGGATAATGGGTGGGGGGGCTCTGGCCCAAAAAAGGTTGAGAACCACTGGTTTATGGAGTCACATTTTAGCTGGAAGAAACAGTTTGAAGTTACAATGTCTTGATGGATTGGTTTCTTACGAGCACACACTTTCAAACAAAATGTATTTTATGGACTGGGATCGTGTGGATTTCTTGTGAATTATTCTGATGTTTTTAGCTGTTTGGACTCTAATTCTGAAGCACTGATTTACTGCAGAGGACTGGTGAGCAGGTGGTATAATGCAAAATTTCTCCAGATCTGTTCTGATGAAGAAACAAACTCATGTACATTTTGAATGGTCTGAGGGTGAGCACATTTTCAGCAAAATGTAATTTTTGGTTGAATTTTTGCTCCTCATTAATATGGCTAAATAATGAAAAACACAGCAAAGTGCATCTGTGCTAATATAGACTCATAATAAGGATGGCCAAACGTTTTTTGTTGTTGTTGTTTTTTATTGTGACATTTGGTTTGGTGTTGTTCTAGCAAGTGCTGTGCAAAATTTCCCACTGCATAAGTACATTTACTCCAGGTGGAGTTTTGAATCCTTTAATGATAACATGACAGCACAACACACCATCCTGAAGGGCGCGCTATCTTCAAAAATCACACCAGAAAATCACACCAGAAAGATTTTTTTAACAATGCAGAATGTGCTAATATCAGTCTACGAGTTGCTTCGCTTGCTCTTGTGTGACTACTGCAATATGTCAGTACTAAAGTACAGATAGCATGTGTTTGAAATGAGCATTCTCCATGAGCGGCCCTGGCCAGCAGGAACAGATGAAGCAGGACAAGGGGAGGAGTGGCAGATTTTGGCCCAGTGACCCTAACAGCTAGACTGGGCTTGGATTAGATGTCGTAATCTTCTTCCTGTCACTTTACACATTGCTGCACCGATCCATTCAGAACACTTCGGCCAGCTCACTGTGAGATGGAGTCTTTCCCACTGCATTGTAGAGCTAGCCTCCTTAAAAGGACACAGGACTACACACCACAGCTTTTACAGAGATGTGCAGGCCCTTCAAACCTGTGCAAAACACTGTCATTAAAACATGTAATATTAAAACATATAAAACCTATGGAATCCTGTATCTGGCTTAGTGATCCCACAAAATAATGGCAGTAGTTATTCATATGACAATCTGTAGTTAAAGATAATACAATATTAAAACACATTAAAACATGTATACTTGTATATTCCATTAATTGTTTTATTACATTTTATTGTTTTTAATTTAATACATTTTATTTTGTTTTTAAGTAAGTGAAACAGCAGAGATAAATTCATAATCTATTTGTTCTGCATTTTAATCCAATTTTGTGTAAACATGTCTCAAATTGAATTTGAAAAAATTGAAATATGTAACTTTCAATTCATTCATCACACTGGTCAAGTGCATTGCATTGTGGGATACAGTATTCTATGCTCTAAGCGTATCATGCTGCCTTTTTTGGTAATCAGGGTATTTGTGCATAGAAATATTTTGTGTTGCCACTGCTGAGACATTATGCAAATGTCTGAATGGAAATAGTAGCCCTGAAAATGACTGGGTAAAAAGAAAGAGAGAGAAGCAGATGTTGTAGACGTAGGCCATTAACAGCACCCAAGTAAAATGACCTTAAATGAGGAGTGTAGTGGCACATCCTATGTCTTTATGGCTCTGTCTCTAAGCAGCATGTGGATCCATTTGATATTTTGGGGCCACTCGGCCGCCCCCCTCATTCTTCCCAGCGGGACGCCCAGCTTCTGATCATTGCTATCGATCGGTGGGGCCCTGATTGCGGGACTCGCTGACTCGCACAGTGGAGTCCCTCCGATCAATTCAACGATCCCCCTGTTTGGTTCCCACTGTGTATGATGACGATGTTGGCATTCCGCATGCAACCGAAAGGGTCTGATCAAATCTATCGCATTGATTTGGACAGACAGTTCTGTGAGGCCACAGACAAAAAGCCCATGAAAGCTTCTCTGGCCCTAAATGGGACATGTAATGATGATGATGATTAAAATGATGACCGTGATAATCACAGCGATGTAAATAAAAATGATAATGGAGTTAGTCCTACACAACCTTAAAGTTTTCAATGAACCTTTGTGGTCATTTGGAAGAACCGCTGTGGGCATCCACAGAAATCCGTTCTTTTTTCTGAAGATTGTCTTGCATTACATCTTTTGTTGTTGCACTGTGGCAGAGTTCTTCAGCACACATATCTCGGACAAGGACAATGCACCGTGCTTACTGAAGATTTAAAAATTAATTTTGCCCTAGTTGGTGCTCTGAAAAGGAACGTCGCTTTGCAGGAGCTTTACCTCTCTGAAAACAACCTTAACGGCTACCAGGACTCCATGCAACTTGGCGACCTCCTCAAATACAACAGCACTCTTAAAACCTTGGACCTAAGCAACAATACCATGTCTGACTCAGGTATGCCCATTTTGTTTGAGGACACATTGTGTGCTTCCAATAGCAAGGGTGAAAAGGTTTTTGTGGTTAAATGCACAATTTGTTTCAGCTCTTGTGTAGTCATCTCTCTCTGTTCCACAGGTTTGGAAGAGATTTGTGATGCTTTGAGCTCTCAGAAGACTGGTTTGAGAACGCTGATACTGAGTAACAATCACATCACTCATCTTGGCATGAGCCATCTACAGAATGTTCTGGTGATTTTCTCTCGGACAAGATAATAGAGATATGTGCGATTTTAATCATCACAACAGCACTTCTAGACTTAAAAAAACAGAGGAAGTTAAAAATTAACACATCTGGAAGATTGTGCATCAGTAATTTGCTGAAACATTTTCACAACTGCATTTCACACTGTGTTTTATTTAAAGAAAATGGTTCCCCAAAAATGAAAGTTCTGTCATCATATAGACACTCAGATGTTGTTCCAAACCTGTATGACTTTTCTTTATTCAGTGAAACAGAAAAGGAGAAATTTGGAAGGAATTCAAAATGTGTTCTTACCTATGTAAAAAATAAGCAAAATCACCATATCAGCACCATAAAAATTAAGATTTGAAAGAACGATTCATTCATGAATGTATGCCAGGATTTTCACTAAATAGCAATTCAATTCCACTCTGTTTTTTTACAATAAGCTATTGCATGGCTTCAGAAAACTTGACAGCCCCTGTCCTGATTCACTTACATTACATGGAAAAGAGTGGGATGTTCACCTGAAAATTCACCTTTTGTTTTCCAGGGAAGTTTAATTTTTGAGTGGGTCTGTTCCTGTAGAATAAACTGCGGGTTGCACATTGTAGTAAATACAATGATTTTCACTCAGTATGTTACTTTTTCAGTTATTTATTCATTCCTATTTTATCTGAGTGTGGCTTTGATTAAAGACGAACAGTGACACTGCATGTAGCCCCTGCTTGGCTTTGGAGAGGAAGTACCCAAACTGTCAAACACGACAGCTACTGGATATATCTCTTCTTTTTTTTTTTTTTGTGGTCTACGGCAGATTTTGACACACAGAGAGAAAAGAGAAGAGAACAAAAGGAAATGGCTTGTCTCATCCTCACTGGAAAGCTCATCGCTAATCCTTAATAATATCTATTCCTCTTCAGCAGCTCTGATTGTCAGAATAAACTGTACCTTTCTGTCATCTGAATGGCGATTCAAATCAAAAGCTACAAATTAAAGGCCTGCTTTCTCTTCTCTCGGCCTTTGGCGTGTTCACAGAGAATTCATTCAGGCCAAAAATAAAGCCTGCTCATTCCATTTTGCCTGTACCAAATGGGAACAGTTTGATTAAATAATAGATATGTGTTTAGAGGGCTTTTTCATGTGGTCTGTCATTAAGAAGGATAAGTAGACATCCATGCGGCCATAATGAATATAATTAGTCCAATGGCTGGTCGTGTCGAATATGACATAGGAAGGGTTGTTATTAACCTTTCTTTTTTTTTCTGGGGTTTCTTTAAAGGCAGAAGAAGAGAGAGTGAATAAATGGGTTATTTGGGCAGACACACAACTCTCTGATGTCAGCAGAACATAATTAAATCACAATGTTATCCACATTTTTCAGCGGATCCTTGTCTGACCAATTGGAAATTGGAAGACTGAAGTTGTCAACCATAGGCTGTTAGAATAACGCTACTTCAGTTAACTTTAAATGTATGTAATGTTAACAATACTCGCAATGTTTGTAGTAAAATTTATCTGAATTTTAATTAATACATTTAGTTATTAATTAAAATATTGATTGATTAGTTATTTAAATAGTTTTGTGTTTTCTTAATCCTGTTTTTTTTTCAGCATCAAACAAACATTTATTATTATTTAATAATAATAATAACAGTAGCAGAAATAATAACAATAATTATTATTAATGCCTTTGTTCCTTTGATTTTAATAAAAATACATTTTATATTATTTAAAGAGATATTGTTATAATTTACTCATCCTCATGTCATTCCAAACCTAAGTTTCTTCTGCAGAACACAAAAGAAGATCTTTTGAAGATTATTGGTAATCAAATAGACATCCATCGTGTGTGGAAAAAACACTGAGAGATTTCTCAAACTTTTATGTTCTATGTATGTTCTTCTCACCATCTTTTCTGTTCTACGGAAGAAAGAAAAATGATACAGATTAGCAGCAACATGAAGGTATAACAATATGATGGCAGAATTTTTTGGTTGTACTAAGTTCATATTAGTATATTTACAGGTAAAAATATTCCTGATTACAAAACAGATAACATGACAAAAATTCTGTTGAATTCTCACGTGTTTTACATTTGAAATGACATTTAAGTGACATTCTTTCTAGTTTGTTTCTTTCTATGGATCTTTGACTGGGCTTGTTGGTTGTGTCTGTATACATACAGTATACCGTATATGTGCGTGTGCATGTATGTGTGTGGGTGTTTTACATGCTTGAGTGTTGTAACAGTGAAGCAAATTAACTGTTAGTTGACCTCTGTGCTTGTTTTTTTAGCTGTCTGTGGTTTTTCATTTAAAGCAGGAGACTAAGTGAGAGTAATGAGTGTAGCGAGCTGGCATGGTGTATGTTCTGTTATGCAACATGGCTTTTCCCTCATGTGCTCCGCTATCTCCTGCTTTATATGGCTGCTAATCGTGCTTCATAAATGACGCAGCTAATATGCTCTTGAGAGCCAATCTATTGCCACAGTGTGACACTTAAAGCTCTCAAAGTGACACAAATTCACCATCCATAATTGGATTCAAATGCACAGAAAAAAGGACACTTTTGAATTCTAAAAAGTGATTTAAAAACCTCATCAGTCCACGTTTTCTTAAACATCCTGTTTTTCTTTTTTTTTTCAGGCCCGCTTAAAAACGCTCGAAACATTGAACCTTGGCAAAAACAACCTTGAGAACAGAGGCATTCACATGTTAAAGGAGTCCCTCATGATCAATCGCTCTTTATTGCAACTTGGCCTAGCCTCCACAGGAATAACATGCGAGGGTAGGGTTCATAATATTGCTTTTCTAGCACTTTGACACATCCCCTCCTCTTAGATTTCCTTTTTTTTCTGGTATGCATTTCTGTTTTTATCTTATAACTTAGCCTGTGTTTTCTACCACCGTGCCAGGTGCTGTGACTTTGGCTGAGATCCTTGCAGAGAGTCCACAGATCCAGCGCTTGGATGTACGGCAGAACCAGGTGCTTGCTGGGGGCCTCATGGCTCTGTCGTTGGCCCTAAAGATAAACCGTTCACTCATCAGACTGGATCTAGACCAACATTTGAAAGAGGAAAAGGTCAGTTGTCAGCTGTTCCTCATCCTGATTATCTAAGTGTTTAGAACAGTAATTTTGCCTGCAGATGGTCCTCGGGTCTGCCTGGAAATATCAGGATGTTTTTAAACTGTAGTTTTCAGGCCTGGAATATCATGGAAATAAATTAAATCTTAAAAAGTCATGGAAAAATCTTGGAAATTTCTTTTGTGTATATGCATTTTTTTTTGCTTTAGTTTTTTAGTTTTGCACTAATAACTATATATGTTTAAATCTATATTTATAAATCTATATTAGTATCTGACAAATGAAAACCGAAGGCATTTGGCTCAGTGGTCAAAAACTATGGAAACATTGTGAAAAGTATTATTGTTTAGAGGTGTAAAGGAATAGTATTACCAAATAATTTTGTATATTTTGTTTGTATTGTACTGTGTTTATTGATAAACAGATTGAATTTACTTTCTTTACACACAAAATTTGGGGGCTTCGCCCTGTCAGCCCATGTCTGGTAATGTAAATTGTGGATTTTGCTATTACATGTAGCGAATCAGCTCATGGGGAAATATGAATAATTAACCATAACTAATTATGATTAATTATTAATATTTTAGATCCACTGTAGATATTTAGTAATATTGTAAAGTTGTTCATGTAAACAAATTTTTGCTATAGCATGTTCTGTATTCTATATTCTATATTCTGATATAGCAATATTAATCAAGTTTCACTAAAAGACAGAAGATCCCATCAAAGTTAAGCAAAGATAAGAGTTGTTGCTGATCTCTTAGAGCTGCTGCTTCACAAATCGTTGCAAAAGCCCTGAAAAAAAAAATGATACCGCAACTTAAGAACATGCCAGAACAGAGAAAGTTCACTTGCCATCTGTTTGTCAGGATCTTATCTGCACATTAAAGCATTAATTAAAATCATGAAAGGACAGAATGCTCTCTTTAAAACAGATTCTAAAGCTATAAACGGATTGTTTTTTTTTATATCAGTCATTTGTTTGGATTCTGATGTTTTTACCCCGTCAATCAGTTGCACCTTTAAATATATTTTCATCGATAAATGGCCTGAAAACACGTCATCTGTCTTAAATGTGCATAAATGTGTCATATTTAAGCTCAGCTGAAACAGAGGACGATGTTATTAACATTTCCACCGTGATAGATTACAGCAGGGTGGTATTTAACCGATGGAGAATGAGACATTTCACTGTGGCAGTACAAGAAGACACACTGCTGGGATTTGTCTGGGCCAGGCACAACGTGGCAGAACGACTGACGATTGTATTAAAAAGCAAATCTTTCCATCAGAAATCAGCGGGTGGTCAGATCAAGTGTTCTGATTCAGTTTCGTAAAATTGCCTGGGATTGAGAAAAGCGAAAATTTCTTTCTTCAAAAGAAGAGTGTATGTGGATGTGTGCGTGGCACAATTTTACAAGCGCATATTTAAACGAGAGGAAGGTGGTAAGGAGGGAATGTAGGTCCTTGGGTCTTTGTTTACAGCATCTGATTTGGCTTGTCTGTTGAAGCCCAAATCTATTTGATCATTGGCCTGTTTGTTAATTATTAATTATTTACTGATCTGAAATATTCATTCTGGGAGTCTTAGGAAGTTCAGAAATTTGGGACCATGTTATCCATCTCTTTAGCAAGGTTAAGGTCAAACTTTTCTCATCAAATTCTTCCAAGACCTGTGATGTAAACTTTGTGTCTGTCAACAGTTGTCTCATTTTTGTCTTTTTATTTCTCCTTAAGAATGTTATAAAAAAATTGTCTTAAAGGGGTCATATGATGCTATTTTAAAGATAATTATTTGGTGTATTTTGTGTAACAGAATATGTTGACATGCTTTAATGTTAAAAAAACACATTATTTTTCAAATACTGTACATTATTGTAGGTCCTCTATGCCCCGCCTCTCTCAAACACGTAGTTTTCAACAAAGCCCCCTCCTTTGACAAGCGCAGTCTGCTCTGATTGGCCAGCTGACCCAGTGCATTGTGATTGGCCGAACACCACAAGCACGCGTCGGAAATGTAACGTCCCTTACCATAATCGCAAGCTTCAGCTTTCAAAGTAAATATCAAGTTAATAATGTCGTTAGTTTTACCATCAGTTCAAGCCCGAAAGGGCAACAGAGTCGTGTGGCCCTGTTCCCCTCACACACACACGACGCGTTACTCTGCGCTGCGCAAAACTCCGCATTTGAACAGTCAATAGCAAATACTTAAACTAATATCAAAACATACTTACAGTCGCTGATTTAGAAGCGCCAGATTGTCATAGCAAAGTCGGATTTTACCCTTTTTTTTTAGAAATATCCTTTGTGCACAGCCAGCCTTGTACTCTTCTAGCTTCAAAAAACTGTCGTCCATTAAATGCGTTGCACAAATTCGAACATCTGGGTTGTGCTGTTCTGTTGTAAATAAATCTTAACCAATGATTCCTAATTGCATCTACTTCCGGAAGGCCAAATAAAGTGCTTTTGCTTTCGCACTGAAACATAGCGTCTCCTTGACATGGCTGCATCAACACTACTGCTGTTCCTGAAACCACGCCTTCTTTCTTTGCGTGCACATTTGGGCGGCATTATGCTAATATTTCCACATAGTGACGTAGACATGTGGGGGCGTGTTAGAATGAGCCGTTTTAGGTAGGCGTGGTTGACTCTTAACTTTTATAAAGAATATCTCTTTGGATTTGAGACTTTAGTCTTTGCAAATTTACAGATCTTCTTTATGCACCAAGAGCTTGTAACACTCCAAAGAGAAAGGAAAACTTGAAATCGCATCATATGACCCCTTTAAAAAACATTTTTGTCTTAAAGCAACAGTTTACCCAAAAATGAAAATTCGTCATTTCCTCATCCTCATGGAACAAAAAAGAGTAAATCTTGAAACCAAATCAATACTGGACCCCACTGAAAATCACTGAATGAAAAAAAAAGCTCACTTTTTTTTGGAGTGAGCTATCTCTTTAAGACAATGATGTGCAACAATGGCATCATTATTTCCTTTCCTGCTCAAAGGCACTGTTGTTGTGCATGGCACAGTCATGTTGCAGTGATGTCTCTCATTAAGGATCATTACAGATGCAGGTAGGGCTGCAGAGGGGCAGGTCGTCTTGTGGGACAGACTCCAAGTGGAACTAAGAGTTGGTGGTGTTTGTGGTTGGTCATGGTGTCTGACTCGATGATAGCTGGAGTTGAGTGAGTGAGCAGACAGAGAGCAGGTCCTGCTCATGGGACCTCGGATGAGCTGATTATGATGAGCTTTAAACACACACACACACACACACACACACTCTTGTACAGAGCTCAGTTTTTGAACTTGCTGATACTTTTGTGAATATTTAAATAGCTTCAACCTATTACACTACATTGTTCTTATAAATGAAAGAAAAACATGCATTCTTTCAATAATGCTATGCTGGAGAAAGGGCCTGAATGTTACTCCTATAAACTGTAGTGTTACTTTCTTATTTACTTTCTAGTCATGTACTAATAGGGTTGTACATATGCAAGATGTATGACATGAATTTTTGGCAATTAAGATTAATAATTAAAAAATTAATAATTAAAATAGTTACTGCAGTTAACTGAATATCATTTCAACAGTTTGTCAAAATTACGACGTTCTATCATTTCATTTGTTGAATACAATTGGGACAGGGCAAAATTACCATTTTAGGGGGAAAAACAGACGTTTGATGTGTATTATAAACAGCTATTTTCTAATTTTATGTTAAACAGTAGTTTATATAATATACATAAATATATTTAAATATGTGATTTGTGCCTCCAAGAGCTTATCTCTTTATTGTTTTCTTCCGCTCCTAAGTCTAATTTAATTTTAATTTGTATTTATGTGCTTTTTTATGCCATTATTTTGAATACATATAAAACTCAAAGTTCCTATGCATTGCAAGTGCTACCTGTGCACCACAGCTTCATATTTTTTTTTTATTTTTTTTTTTGTGACTGCAAAAAATATCTTTAAAGTTCTGTGCGGCCTTATCCTTTAATTAGAGAAGAGGGGTTTGTGAGTAACATGTTCCATATTTTAGTGATACTTTCACAGAATCTTCTCCTATCAACTTCACATGGTTGTAGGGCATGAAAACAACAGCCGTTTATAGCAAAGCAGTCAAGTGTCATATGTTTATCAAAGCTAATCCAAATCACGTCTCTCTGTTTCTTTGCATCTGCTCTCACTGTCATGGAAAAAAATAGCACTTGTCACCAATATCTTGTTGTAGAAGCCAGTCTGCTTAGACACTAGACACTATATACTTACCAGATACTATATTTAACATCATGTGAACTAAAATGAGGTTGTGAAGTGCAATATGTTGCACTATTGTGTGAAAACTAGGTCCTACAGTAGGTCACATCTAATCTTCACAACATATCTTTTTTTAAATATTTTGTCAACTGTACAATGTACTGAACGGACTAGGTCTGCTTCCCTCACAACCCTTTTTTCATTTGTGTTAAATTAAATGTGGCGTCTAATTGATGTGGCATTCGCTGTCCAAAACCCTGTCCGCTGTTTCAACCTGTTCAGATCTTGCAGATAGACTCTTCATAAACTTTTCCCCTTGCGCCATCAAAACTTTGAGGTGAAATTATCTTTGCCGTTTCGAAATAAACCTTCTGACTCTTTGCATTCACAATCCGCACGCAGTCTTGCTCATTTCCTGATGTAGTTTTGGGGGCAAAACAGGCATATTTGCCAGCTGTGTAATTTACTGTGGCACTCATTTGCATATTAAAGCATTAATTAGCCCCTCTGAGCACAAGAGCGAGAATAGTGTAATCATTGGATGTGTAGTCGCGGGGGACGAGTCTGTGTTTGGGTCTGGGGGGAGGCCGAGAGGAGAGCGCGGGAGTCTCTGGGAGCTTGTGTTGACCATGCGGCGCGTGCTTGTCGGCTTTGTGTTTTTTTTTTCTCCTCTCTATCCCGCCAGAGGGTGTATGAGGAGGTTGTGCTGCTCAGTTTTCCAGCTTTTTCCAGA